ATAAGAAATGCTTTTCTAGACCACAACATTCCTTAATCACCATCATTATTTCCAACCAGCATCTATCCCTGACCAGTGAATACAGAAATCTACCTAGTAATACAAAATAAAAGGTATTTAAAATGGTCAAAACCACACTCCTGTCAGGGCAAGTAAGTGGTTTAAACACAGTACAGCTGTTTCATTACCTCTGATTTTCAAATAGTATTTATTCTGCATTTCCTGATTCTCGTCGCTAAAAGAAACAACCCGCAAACAAAATCAAGTACAATATTTGTGAAGGACCAGGACTGTTTCCAAACGAGCCAGTTCAAAGCAGGAGGTAATTTCATGAATATTTACTTAGTGCTGAAGCAACAGTCTCCTAATGCAGAGGGTCACTCGGAGTAGGAAGCAGTTATTGCCATCTTTCCTCTCCAGAGGAAGGAGCCTGGCACTAAGCCATCCCCGTTTTCCTGAAAGATTAACGATCAAATGTGATGGGAGACTTGATGAAGAATTTAAAAAAAGGGCACAATCCTCTGTGATACATCCTGTCCCAAATCAGTTTAAGCCCGTCGTGGTAATTAATAAGGCAACGGTAGGAAGGAGGTAATTGCATTCCAATTTTGCAGAAGTCATGCAAAAAGGACCTGAACAAGTTTGCTAAAAATACACTTAATAGGTAAAAACCTGGCCTCTCAGAAGGAAAGAGCATAATGGTGTGTTCATTCCCACACCTCCCAGTCCTGTACTGGGGGTGCTCCAGTGCTCCAGCCGGACCAGAGTCGGCCACCAACCTCCCAGCAAGCCAGGGACAGCTTTCCAGCAAAACTCCTGGAAAAGAACTCAGCCCCATTTTCTGTCTCAGCAAACAGGGGCCCTGCACAGAGGCCACATTTCAGCTGTGGAAAGTCTCATGTTAAAGGTTTGCAGTGGCCATCAAATGCCACATTTCCAGAGCCTGGGAGAACATCCACTGGCGGCTCCTCAGCCACGAGATAAATAAAAACATGGGTTTGTGGATGTGAAAAGAAGACCCTGAGATGCTTCTCCACAGCATGGGGAGGGTGAGGGGGGATTCTGCTCCTCTGCCCCCCACCTGCAGAGCTGCCTCCAGCCCTGGAGTCCAACATCAAGATGTGGAGCTGCTGGAGCAAGTCCAGAGGAGGCCACGGAGATGCTCCAAGTCCTTCAGCTCTGGAGCCAGGTTGGGAGAGCTGGGAGGGTTCCCCTGGAGAAGAGAAGGCTCCAGGGAGACCTGAGAGCCCCTCCCAGGGCCTAAAGGGGCTCCAGGAGAGCTGGAGAGGGACTGGGGACAAGGGATGGAGGGACAGGAGAAGGGGAATGGCTTCCCACTGCCAGAGGGCAGGGTTAGATGGGATAGTGGGGAAAAGTGTTTTACAATCAGGGTGGGGAGGCCCTGGCCCAGGTTGCCCAGAGAAGCTGTGGCTGCCCCTGGATCCCTGCAAGTGTCCAAGGCCAGGTTGGAGCAATCTGGGCTAGTGGGAGGTGTCCCTGCCCATGGCAGGGGGTGGGACTGGATGGGCTTTAAGGTCCCTTCCACCTCAACCCAACCCATCCTGGGATGCTCTGCAGTGCTTGGTAAAGAGGCAAAGTGGTTTGCAATGCACACAGGAAAATCCCAAAGTCTGTGGTTATCCTGACAGTAACTCACATTTTACAAAGAACAGAATAAAGAATCATCTCAGGCTCTTCACCCACAGCCAAAAAAACACCCCACGTTCCCTAAGCCAGATTTGTACCTTCTGGCAATAAATCGATTGTACCTTCTTCGTA